GGTGTTTACACACAAGTATGTAAACAGTGCACATTTTGTTGGTTTGGTGTGATTTGTACATGAGTTTATATGGTCACAGGTGTTTACACACAAGTATGTAAACAGTGCACATTTTGTTGGTTTGGTGTGATTTGTACATGAGTTTATATGGTCACAGGTGTTTACACGCAAGTATGAAAACAGTGCACATTTTGTTGGTTTGGTGTGATTTGTACATGAGTTTATATGAGTAGTGTTGTTCATGCTACTCAAAGTGCTGGCTAAGAGGGCTAAGATATAAGCTAATCTCGTAAGTTTGCATATCGGATACACCCAATTGCGTTCATGCACGAGAAAAAACTGTGGTTAGCAAGGGCTAATGAATATACAAATATCATCAGTCATTTAAACTATGATTACTCAGTGCAGTAACTAGAAAGGTATACATGTTAGTTCTACGGTTATAAAACAAAACTAAAGTAAATTCAGAAAGTGCAGATTGCAAGAGCAAGTACCGGGCAGCAAAGAGTTTCATCGTCAGTTCATTTTTTCTTGACAACAATATCTCATGATGTGCTCGTGTTGATTATCATGTCGGAAATGGCATACAGAAATGAACAGTTATGAATACAATAGTAAATCTTCCAAATGAGCACTGAATACAATTGTGTTTTGGGTGCTTAGCCTGAGCTAAGCCTTCACGCATACTTTGTCAGCCAATGCTAAGGATCTGGAGCGGGTCTTAAAACAGACCAGATTTAATCCATATTTTGCATTTCTTAGAACATACTAAGCGATCACGGACATTTTCTTAGCTCGAGCTAGGGTATTCAACCCCTTACGTCACCACAAAGAATGTTTATAGTGGTACATGTATGTATCCAGCACTCATATTACATCAGCACATTGTTTATTGATATGGACTACCAGTATTAGCAGCGCTTGCAAACTGGCAGTAGAGCTAGTTCATAAGTATGTGTATTTCTCCAAACAAACCTGTGAAATTAGGTTCATGTGGTAATAATAAATATGTATATATGTAAAATTAACTTTTGGTGTTTTGCTTTTTACAGAGAAATTGAGAAAGAGAAAAATTTTTTAGACATGACTTTACAAGAACAGAAAGCCATTGTTCATTTTTATCATCCCGATTTTAGAAGATGTAGTATAATCGATGAACATCTCACAGTAAGTTCAACTTATGTCACTAAGATCTCATTGTGATAGTTATCCATCATGTTAAAGGTATGAATCCTGATCAAAGTACTTGTTTACCGTCATCAGGAGTGCCTGATATCAATTCTCACTTTTATTTTTTTCCCAGAAATTAGCACCAAAGCATTTCAACACAAAGTTTTCGAAAATTAGTGTGGAAGTTGCAAAGTTCTTTGTTCAAAAGCTTCAAGTGAGGATACTGCCAGCAATCATATGTTTCAAAGATGGTGCAATAGTTGATAGGTATGTTCTGTTACTTGATTTGGGTAATGTTACTGTGTGGAATGCAACATTTTGAAATCTGCCTAATTGACAGGGGATATAATTCTATGTGTGTAAAATATTACAGTATTCTTGTCATAATGAGCAGCAGACAAGTGAAATATTTGCTAATTTTGTGATAAACGAATACTGGTAAATAATCCATCTGAAAACCAATCACTTTCTTTTTGTGGAATGCTGAATTATTTTGTTCTTGGTGCTAAATGTGTCTACATTTATTGGTATTGTACTTATACCTTCACCATCTGGAATAAAGTTGGGTCAGCTTGTGCCATGCATGGCACAGTCCCAGTTAGTTATAAAATTTTAAATCTAATAGAACATAAACATAAACATAAACATGTCAAAGATATGGATCCAGAAGATGATGCTAGATTATGATTTTTTAACATTAAAATGATTGACATTCAGTCATCTTGTATCTAATTGTCAATTGAGTACTTGTCCATATTGAGAGATATTGCTCTGGAACTGTATTAATTAAAACAAAATGGCCATCGGTCGGCCATTTTGAACATGATCGTTAAACCAATCATTCGCACTCATTAAAACAAAATGGCCGCCATAAATCCTGGTTTCCGGACTACATTCAAACAGGGACTAAAAATATCAAGATTGTACGCAAGCTGTAGGTGACAACAAAAATGTTGTAGCCACTTATTTTCTTCATTTCATACTTATGTTTATAAAATGTGAATTTTCCATTTATTACCAAACTGCAATTACAAATTTTCAATGACTTTTTCAATATATTATTTTACAATGACATTCTAGTGTAACTTGTGTCATGAAAAAAACTCTGTGTGTCAATGATGTGTCATTGGCTTAGAGGGCGTATTGTTCCAAATCAGTTTTGAAAATGTTAGTAAGAAGTTAAAAATCAGTGATATCCACAATATGTTCTGTTTGATATCAATCCCAAAAAATTTGTGTAAAATGAATCAAAAAAAATTAAGTTTTATAAAATGCATCCTTTGTAATAAAAACATTTCTCTCTATTTTATCTAGAATTGTTGGCTTTGAAGAACTAGGAAACACAGATAGTTTCACAACAGAGGACCTTGAAAAGCGAATTGGAGATCAGGCAAGTCTTTTTATAATTGTTGCACGCAAATATAACAGGTCAGGCTCAATGTACTTCCAAGCCTTGTAGCTAATTTACATATCACTATTTATCATAATTTTTATTTAATAGTAAAATTATCAATAACTCCTGTTTTTTTTTTTTTTAAATTCAATCTAGTTACTTACTTGTCCAAGTTACTTATTTGCATTATTAGTGTACCGTTAACACATGTCTTAATATCTCATTCAGGTGTTATAGCATTGCCAGACCAAGAAAACAAGTCATCTTCTGTATTTGGGTTTACTAAGAAAACTGAAGATAGCGACAGTGAAGAAGATCTTGACGACTATTGAAGCGTACACACAAACAACTGTAGAGTATTTGAGTGTATGCTTGACATTCCATTGTAGCTTACTTAAAGTTGTTTAATATTTTTTTATATTTAAGTTATATAAAACTCTGTGGTATTTTTTTTAATTTATCAGCTTCATATAAAATGTTCACATATACCACTGTTTAAAAGTGGATTCATATGCTCCTTAAACCGTGTGAAAATACTTTGCATAATATTTATAATCTAGGCTTCTTGTGGAAGAAATGTTAGTTCAGCACTATTGGTGTATGATGACCGTTTCATTACTGATTTGAATACAAAAAAAAAATGCACAATTTTTGTGAAGACCTGTAGGGAACACTAAAATTGCTCCAAAATTAACAAAGACAATTTGATGGAAAAACTTGAGGCAGTCATGGACTCAAGCTATGGTGATTTATGTGTTATTGAATAAATGAATGCTGACCACTACGCCGTGCAGTGTGTTTATTACTTTATCAGATCATATATATTCCATTCCACCCAATACATGGTTTCATATTTAACACATTGTATCCTGTTACTGTCGAATGCCGAGTTAGAAGTCCAAGGTTAGTTGACTTCACCCTGAAATATTATGTTAACCCCTGTCACAGGACAGTCTGAAATGGGTGCTCATGGATTTGGTTCTGTCACTGTCACGTCATAATTCAAAAACTCATAATCTTAGGGGTATTTTTAGGTGAAAAGGTCATTATTGATCTAAAGTAGAATGAAAATGATGTTTTTGCCTGTTATTGGCAATGTATTGACCAATTTTATTCAAACTTTACGTATCGGCAGTACATATACACACAATGTCACAATCAAAGTCTCTTTTGGTCAAAATAACATAATGCGTTACATATATTGATAGACATAATTTAACAATGCAAGTGTATTAGGAATTTCATTTCAGTCAAAAAAAATAGAGTGGAAATGGTATTTTTGCCTGTTCTTGGAAACGCTTTTGCCAATTTCATTAAAACTTCTCATATTGATAATGCACAATACATTACATAAGTGGATACCCACAGTTGTACAATCAATGTGTAATAATTATCGGTCAAAAGAATAGGGTGAAAATGATTTTCTTTTAAAGTTTAAGCTTTGCATTGACTAATTTGTGAAAATAAAAATTGCATGTGTTCATCAAATATTAAAGGTCGATGGTCGTCGCGCAGCGCGTGTTCGAATTTCATGTCAATAAACAATGTATTTCACACGCGTTGTATACATTACTATAAGTCCCTTTAACAACAAATAAAATATAAATAAATATGATTGGTCTAGGTAGGTGTATTGTGATTTAGTGGATTTATTTAATCCTCAACAGATAACAAAATCAGACAACTAATTGAATTACAGAATTAGTCAAAACATATATTCAAGAAATCTTACACATGAATAGGAACGAAAGTTCTCGTTTTTGTTTTAATTACTAAAATTAATTGATTGGTACAACAATTTTACAATGTGATGACTAATGCATTACCAACCCGCCACATAATAAAACATTAATTATGCGATTGTATACAATTAAATTATAATGGATAAATAGAATATCGGTAGCTCAAGATTTAAGTGGTTATTAGATCTTGATTACTTAGATCTTGATTGACTGATCTTAAACTGAACGTGAACTCCGCTTTGACCATGTTATAACGAGGTAGAATTGATTTTGAAAATTTTTTAGCTTTAATCTAAAGACTGTGTCAATGGCAGAACGTATTTACTTACAAACAAAGAGATACTAATTTCACAAAATCGACTAGCCATTATGTATCATGCGCTTAGGTCTATTGTTTACAAATTATAATCTACGACTGGCAGGATGCATGTCTGTAGGTACATAATTCTAATAACAATCGGACAATAGTCTTGGTCAGAAGCATTTCCATGGTGGTCGCTAATTTTGAGTGCCGGTCGAGTCGACCACCTCCAACCAGCGTTGCGAGATCCCTGGATGACATATGAAGAGTTCTGATGACCATCCACCATTTATCAACTTCCTGTCTGGGTGTCCTGTGGTACATTTCTCAACTGTTCAAAACGCTGTCCATTAAACTGACTCAGAACTGAGAACATTGAAGTTGAGTCAAAGTCACATTCATAACGTGAAAGATCCATGTTGATTGCAACTGGTCTTGATGTGAAATAAACATCCTCTATGGGCCATGGCAAACCAAAATGATGTCTGTGAAGCTGAAAACAACAATATGTGCACTAAGCATTTTGGAACATGATTCATGAAGTCAATCGATTCTGTGAAATAGAAAGAACTACCATGTGCTGAGAAGTATTGGAATCAAAACATAAACAAAGTACAAGAAACCTTTGCTCTGAGATGCACAATGTCGAAGCAATGAGATGTACAGAATTAAAGCTGATAACAATAATATGGTAATTGTAGAACACAATTTAATTACAGATCATGGTTTGTGGTCTGTGGAATTAGCCCAGAGCACCTTGTGGTCTGTGGAATTAGCCCAGAGCACCTTGTGGTCTGTGGAATTAGCCCAGAGCACCTTGTGGTCTGTGGAATTAGCCCAGAGCACCTTGTGGTCTGTGGAATTAGCCCAGAGCACCTTGTGGTCTGTGGAATTAGCCCAGAGCACCTTGTGGTCTGTGGAATTGGCCCAGAGCACCTTGTGGTCTGTGGAACTAGCCCAGAGCACCTTGTGGTCTGTGGAACTAGCCCAGAGCACCTTGTGGTCTGTGGAATTAGCCCAGAGCACCTTGTGGTCTGTGGAATTAGCCCAGAGCACCTTGTGGTCTGTGGAATTAGCCCAGAGCACCTTGTGGTCTGTGGAATTAGCCCAGAGCACCTTGTGGTCTGTGGAATTAGCCCAGAGCACCTTGTGGTCTGTGGAATTAGCCCAGAGCACCTTGTGGTCTGTGGAATTAGCCCAGAGCACCTATGTACATGTACCAAGCTTCAATTAACACATCGCATACTGACACTAATTGATACCATTCTCATGAAAACACATGAAAAAACATGCGATAAAGCCACTACCCCGATTATAACACACTTTATCAGCTATTCGATTGGGCCTTGCATGCAATTTGAGACTATGACGTACGTCACCAACTGAGAATCTCCTAGGGTACCAAGCATGGTACGTCTGCCGACTACAAAATAAATGCCGGCTCGCAATAAACTGAAAATTTCAGATACTCAAGGTCCTAGTATTTTTGTTCTTTAATGTTGAATTTGTGGACATTGCTGTTTCTAATTCTCTCAACCCTTGGCAACGCAAGGAACTATTTTTTTTCAATTGTATCATTTGCCAGTCTCTTGCGAAATGTGTGATATGATTGATAGAATTACTGCAAAATGGTGCGAAAGGTTGCAGAAATATATTGACGACTCTATAAATGAATTATTTTTAAATAATCAGACAATAAATTGATGGTTAAATTGTACGCAAATGAGATCGTATACACCAATAAGATTAGGACAGGCATACACTAATAATGAAAGTGATGTTACTACCTTCTATTGAGGAAATTGGATACATGTGATAAATGAAATATCAAAATTCGTGACCAATGATATCAGATTTATTAAACTTGTGGCGTAATTTTCATTCATTTCTCACCAAAGGCTCAAAACAAATCTGATATCATATATCAAATCTGATATCGACACTTCAAAACATACAACCAGAGGAATACAGGAAATCAGTATAAAAACAAAAACAACATGCCATACCCAACAAGAGGAAACCCATATCAGTCTCCAATGACTCACTTCGCAGGTATGCCATTCCATTTTGACTGGGCAAGTATATATGGTCAAAGACCAAACTTCAACTGATGATGGACATGACAACAAACAAGAAAACAAATCATTCTTCAGCTACAAGAAAAAGAAAAATTTCCCAGAAAAATGCACTATCACTGTCATACTGGAACATACAAAATGTGAAAAGAAAACTTGACGATGGTGACTTTATAAAAAACATAACATGCCATGATATCATCAGTCTCGGTGAGACATGGTTGAATAAAAATTCTCACAGTTCCCTTTCAATACCAGGATACTATACCTTTTCAGTTACTAGGAACAACCAACAAGGAGGAGGAATATCTATACTGGTGAAACAAGATCTAAAACGAGGAATAACAATTGAAAAGAACATTTTTGATGATATACTATGGTGTAAACTTAAAAAAGAATTCTTCAGTTTAAAAAAAGACATATATCTTTCTTTCATTTACAATCCTCCTTCAAATTCAAAACACTGCCGAACTGACTTTTTTGATTACTTGGAAGCAGATATTTGTAATTATTCTAAATGTGGAGATATTATAATACTCGGAGACTTTAATAGTAGGACAGGGAATATGACTGACTTTGTAAATACCGATGGCGATTCATTCATGCCTATTCCAAACTGTTATACAAATGATGATACCATATTACAACGTAGTAACAGAGACACACATGGTAAATCACTATTGGAACTATGTAAGAGCACTGGCATTAAAATCCTAAATGGAATTCCTGGTGACTTGTGTGGTAACTTCACATGTTATCATTACAATGGCAATAGCACAGTAGATTATGCCTTAGCTTCATCAAACTTGCTCTGTAATTTTAAATATTTCCAAGTTCATATTTTTACCATCCTGTCAGATCACTGCCAGATATCATGTTTGTTTACATTAGAAAAATTCATCAATTCTAAGAAAATTAATTCAAAATATAACAAAAATAACCTCCCTAAAAGTTGGATCTGGAATAAACTGTCAATCTTTGATTATTATGGAAACTTATCATCTGAAAAAACTCAAAATTTAATTAAAACTTTCTTAGACAACAAAAATAACTTGGATAACGATGGAATACATGATGCAGTGCTGAATTCAACTCAAT